TAGCACCCATATATTCACCTAGATGTCGCCAATCTCCTAGACATTGTTCCTTTTCATATTGTTGTTGTTGGTTGTGTCACATGATCCGCGCCACCTGTGGACGTGAATTAGATGTTGGCAATTTCGGCATCACCTTGCCGCGGTCATTGGTATGTCATTCCAATGTCAATTTGTTTAGGAGTTAGAACATGTAGCTTAGAAGCAACTTTAGACAAAAAAATAACAACAACGTGAATGTTCTTAGGAAATTAGACCTTCAAATTTATTATTTTCTGAATGCCTTTTAAAAGCACGTATCTCATCATCACATATGTTTAATATTTTCCTTTATGCCTACCATATTTCTATAGCTCGACCCTCGAGTGTATTCTTTAACTAGAAGGGTATCGTCATGCCGGGATATTCTTTCTTCCGTTGCACGCAAGGGCATGTTTGCTAGTCGTTTATTAATAATGCCACATTACTTTTTTACATCAAATCGCACCAACTTATATACGCTCGACGTGCGATAATCAACAAGCTCAGGCATCAACAAACAGATGGTGAAGCGTTGATTGAACGTAAAGGCATTGAGTGTGAGACAGTATGTTTGTGCCGTGGGAGACTAGATGAGGATGGTGGGCACTTATTTATAAGACATGCAAAGAAAATCTACGAAGCATGCTTTGGCAGTGATGGAAAACGAGGATGGTGTGTGGTGGGAGACTAGATGAGCATGGTGGGCACTTATTTGTGAGACATGCAAAGAAAATCTACGGGCAGAGGCAGGCGATGACGGCTCAAATTTCTAGCGACATTGCTGAGCCTGTTGGGTGGTTCCAGGTGAAACACACACCGCTTGGGTGCGGGCTGCGTCATGCTAATGAAAGAAAGATGCGCATGCCTATAAAATAGAATGAGAAAAATAGGCTGCACTGCAGTAATTTAATCCTTCTGATAGTACAAATTATTAGTCCGGTTTTATAAGAAGAGAAAAACGCAAGTGCTTGGTCAGTTGATCTTTTAAAGAGAAAAAAAATGCGCCAATTGATCAGCTTTTGATGATATGCATTCTTCTATACCTCCGTGTTCGTCTCCCTATCGTCATTTGGATGTTGTCGTGCTGCGCTGATGGACGTTTTGATGGACACGCCAATTTCTCTTCCTTAGAGTATCTACAATCGAATCCCTTATATCCATCTCAAACGCCTGAGTAGGCCGTTCGTTAGTGACCATTCACAAAAACGCGACCCAATTAGACCCCTCATATTCGTCTTAAACGCCCGGACTGACCGACACCCCTCATATCCATCTCAAATATGAGGACGATATGAGGACTCGCGGACACGCCCGGGCATGCCTGGTCAGTCCGCCACGTATGACACGACCCCACCCCGGACAACTTTTTCTCTTTCTTTATTCATTCTTTTCTTCTCTCTTCTTCATCAATCACTGCAAGTGACTGGACATATGAGAAATGTGACTGCGCGAACGAAAAAATAAAGGCTCAAAACGTGATCAGGCACGTCCGGCGTTTGAGTGTTCGAATTAAAGATATGTGGTTGAAGATGTTCTTACAAGGTTGATGCATTTCTTTATGTGTGCATGCATCAAGTTTAATGAGACAGGGATGCTGACGATCAAGCTCCTCACTTTGGAATTGATCACATTGATTGTGAATAGATGGGCAACGTAACCACCATCAGCAATGGTGTCAAACGGATCATAACAGATGGATTGCTTGGTCCGTTCAAGAAATATTATTTTCTCCTGTTGCAACGCACGAGCACATTTGCTAGTAAATAATATATATTACGTAAGGGTGTTTTTAACGGCAATTCACAAATTTTCTCCCGCATCCGTCCGTGAATATGGGGACCAGTTCGCGGACATGGACGTGGAAGGCCGTCATCCAACATTGCTCGCATACATCAGGTCAACAATTCAAACTAATTGGATGAAATTTGATCAAACCGGGCGAATTTCATTGAAGTTTGGACATAATTTACATAAAATGTCGATATTTTGACCGTTTAACAAAAAAATAAAAAATAGCCTAAACCCTACACCAGACGACCACGTCATACGCGTGGCCGCCCTGCCCTTCCACGCGCGTCGTCTTCTAGATGCCCTCGTCGTCATCGCAGCTGTCGTAGTGGTGGTCCCTCCAGCGGTGGAACGACGCCGGAGGGCCACGGAAGCCTTGTTCGGCTGCTGCCTGCCGCTCGCGGAGGAGCCGCTCTGCCTCCTGCTGCGCCGTGCGGAGTGCCGCCGCGGCCACTTCTGACGTGGCCTTCGGTGGCCTTGCCGCGACTGGCTTTGGCGGAGCAGTCGCTAAGCGACCCCTCCTCGCCGATCTTGGCGAGCTCGCCATCAAGGCAACGGTGGCGCCTGGCGGCCTCCGCAGTGGTCACGGAGCTGTCGATCCCCACGCGGCGGCGAGGTCAGGATCATTGCGGACCCAGTCCGGCGGCACGTCGTTCTTGGCGAACGCGAAGCGGCAACCGACATTGTGTCGGTCATACCTCGCCTGCTATCGGGCTGCGCGCTCCGCCTATGAGACGACGGCCCGCGAGCCCGAGGCAACGCTGTAACCGCCTCCTCCGCGGTAGTGGAGGAGGAGGCCCTGTGCCTTCTTGATCGCGGGCGGCAACTCCTATTTGACGGCGTGGCAGTGGCAGTGCGGCAATGATGATGGCATGTCCATGCGATCGTATCGTCTCCTTGGCGGGAACGACGGCTCCTCCTTGACCCGACATCCGATCTGGACACCGCGGTGGTGTAGGGCCGAGGTCGGCTCCTCCTTCACGCGGCCTCCGATTTGGATGTCGCGGTTGTGCTGGGGCGAGGCCGGCTCCTCCTTCACAGAACGAGGAGGGGACGTCGGCTCGCGCTTCACGGGGTGGTGCGGTGGGGCCGACGGCTCCTCCTTCACGCACGCCGACGATGGTGGCGATGGGCCCATGTAATGGAGCGACCACTCCGCCATCATCTCGATCTGACGAATGAAATCTCTGTCTGTTAGAGCGGCCTCCTTGAGGAGTCAGGACGGCTGCTGCGGCAGCGCCCGACCGTCCTCGTCACCGGAGGAGATGAGGACCTCCTCCTTGGTGGAGGAGCCGGCTGCCATGGACACAGACAGACCGGGAGAGTGTGGGCGACGGTGCCAAGAACCGCCAAAGGAGGAGGTTTCGTTTACTCCGCCTGCCGGCACGGAGCACCACGACTTCAGCATCACCTCAGCTGGGGTCGAAGAGGAGGATGGGCTCGGGCATGGATGCGGGGGAGGGGAGGGGACCGGTGCTCCGGGAGGGGGAGTGCAGCTCTATGCGTCGTCGGCGCACGACTTAAATAGCCGTGGCAAGGCCCAGGTGAAGGGGCGGTCAGCCCACTTCAATGCGGCGCAGCGGTCAGAGGTGGTTCCTCTAGACGCGCCGTCCACATTTAATCGGCGACACCCGAGAGGTCACGTCCGTCAGCGCCGTCCTCCCGTCCGGTCAAATCGCGACATCAATGTCGGCCGCTACATGCCCTGGGCCGGCATGAATACGACACGGCAAGCGGTGCGGCGCATCGGATTGAAAGCGTGGGAGGGGCAGGTGAGGGGTTTTGGGTGGGCCAGCTCAGTCAGAAGCGGGCGTGGGAGCGGTCCGGACTTCCGCAAAGCCCCCACGTTTGTCTCTAGTATGCGGGAGAAAATACGTCTAGACCGCGCTGCAGACAGATATAGAACCGTGGTCCAGAGGGATGCAGAAGGTTTGAGGTCGACGCTGAAGATACTCTTTTATAAAACTAGATGATTCCCCTTTGCAGCGGGAATTAGTAGCTCAAAGTTTCTTGAAATACGATTAAGAACATATGGGACAATTAAGCAAATGAATCATTTGCTATGAATAATAATGACTCGTTGTTTTTATTTCATAGAAAGGAAAAGGCATATTGATGTGAAAGTGAGCATGTGGTTTTATAATAGAATCCTCACCATAAAAACAATTAAAACTATTGGCGGTATATATTTTGTCAGATTCTTTTGAGAATAACACTTCTAGAATATCTTGTAGCATAGAACTTGCGGAACATTAACCAAAATAATCATCAGGAAGAAAATAGTATTGGGCAGATAATCGCTGTCATTCCATTGCAGACACCTTCATTCAATCTACAATGTTATAGTAGGCTAGAAGCCTAGAACCAATCTTCAATTCTGTGTGTTGTTCAGAAAGGAAGCTAGCCTAGTATTTCAGAAAGCAACATGCCACAGAGCAATTAAAATATCATAATCACACATTCACACTACAGAGTTAGAACTTGCAGAACATTAACCAAAAGAACCATCAGCAAGTAAAGAGTATTGGGCAGATAATCAAAGCTATCAATTCCCTTACAAACACCTTTGTTCAGTCTACAATTTTAAAACAAACTACACCCGACATTCCTAGAGAAAGAATTACAATCTTCAGCGGTGTGATATATATGAGCCATTCTTGGGAAGAGAAGCTAGCCCGCCATTAAGGAAAGCAGTATGTTCAACACTTAAACCAGCATGAGATGAAGCAAGGTATTATGAGGCAAAATACAGTAGTTTTTTTCAATTGAATTGCAATTTATTCAGTTATGGAATACCAAAATACAAATAATCAGAACCCTACAAAGTACATACCTCCCAGGCAGCAATAATTAGTGTGGAACAGTGTAACGGCCAACGATGGTTAACTAAAGGTAGCATACCTTCAGATAACAGACTCATCCAAACGACCACTCAAGGTAACAAACCCTACCCCCATCCCTGCCCCCGCGTCGCTCCTCTCGGGGCGACTCGGGAGGCGGCGAACCCTAACCGCCGCGTTCCCCTCCCCTGCTCCTCCCCCCTCGCCGCTGCCAGAGGAGGTCTCCGGCGAAGCCCGCGCGCCTACCAATGATGGTGGCGGCGAGGATCTGGCCGCTCCGGCTCTGCTAGGAGGGCTTCGGCTCACGAGGCGGCGGCCTCGGATGGTGCGGCGGTGTTGGTTTGGCGGCAACCAATGCTCGATTGGTGGTGCTCTCCCTCCTCCTCGGCCGTGTGGACGGCGTGGCGGCGGGCGTTGGGCGCAGGTTGCACTCTCCTCTTCTTCTCATCCTCTCCCCCCATCAGACCTGGCCCCTGGCGGCCGCTGGTCGCCGGATCCACTGTCGACGGGGCTGCTGGAGGGGTGGTAGCGGACCGGGAGAAATCCCTGGCTGGATTCCCGGCCACGACGACGGCGACACCTCCTGGTGTCGTCTTCCTCCTTGGAGGCGCCGTCGAGGTGCGTTTACCCCCTTCCCTCCCACTCTCATGCCCGGGTGAAAACTCTAGTCTCTTCAGGCTGGGCGGCAGCGGCGTTTCATGCGTCGTCATCTTCTTGAAGGTGCCGCCTTGGGTGAGTTGGGGGTGTGCAGGGGCGATGGGTGTGGTGTCAAGTGTGTGGCGGCTTTGCAGGAGGAGTTGGCGCCATGGTCTTCTTGTTGGGGCAATGCTCTGCTATTTGGTTGTTCGTTGCCTGTCTTGTGGCTGTTTGTTCGCTGGCTCTCAGTGCCATGGCATGGACAGGGTGAAGATAGGGTTCTTTCCCCGTTGGCAGCAACAGGGCATGGAAGGCTTGAACTTGGTGCTGATTCCAGCGGGTGCTGTCCTGCTATCTGCATTGGCTGCCTTGGCTCCCCTGCTTGCAAGTTCTTCTTCAACCTCGCTCAACAGCAGCTTCTCTTCCTTGGGTGTGGATTACTGTGTCTTGAAGAGACTCTTCGTTTGGTGTTCTTAGCGCAGCAGGTGGGTCGTGCTGAGAATCTCCCATGGTGACCTGGAAGCTTGTACCAATCCTTGCTCAGGGGAGCATTGCCACTTGCCAACGGTACGGCGCCCTTCGATCCAGGGCGAGGGGCAGGGGTCCCCTTCGGAAGTGGAGAGGGTCAATACGAGAACGGCGTTCACCTATCGAAGTAGATGAGGGCATGTCCATCTTTGCTGGGCTGTAACTCCCCCTGAAGTTTGCTCTCTGTCAGGGTTATGGTGCTCCACTCGCGCATTGAAGGGCTTCGGCAATATCAAGCTAGTCTGTACTGTTTATTTCCTGTTTGCTTGTTCGTGTTGGGGCTAGTAGGTTGTTTCGGGCATCACCTTGTATCTGCCGTCTTTTTTTTGTTTTCCTTTTTTTGCTTGTTTGCTATGCTTCGTTGTAATTGCGGGTGTTTGTATCTCCTGGCCGGTTGTTGGCTTTGTTAATTCAAAGCCGGGCTCTTCTTGAGCCTTCGTTCTAATAAAAAAAAAGGTAACAAACCCTCGAACACCCTGTTGTTACGTTCTTTCTGAATGAAGTATAAGACCAAGATAACAACAATGATTAACTTCTCTTGTCTGAATCTCATAATAAAAGCATTCTGAATTTTTGATCAATCGATGTCCTCGCCACTCACATGTGTATTCTCTTATCTCTGGTTCACATAATTGACAATCTGATCCATGCCTCACCCCAAATATTTGTATATCATCTTACTACTTGAATCTCTACACATAAACAAACACACATTCAGGCATTGAAAAAAGAGAGAGTCAAATAAAGAAGCGAGGAAGAGCCTGGACTGAAGGTGTTCCTCCTGATCCCCAACAGTGCGCCTCCTAAGGCATGGTCAATGGAGCCGGACAGCGCCCTTCCCCCATGGTGTTCCCGAGCGGCGGACGACATCTGGCATGGGTGGAGACCCCTTCCTCTCCGCCCAAGGACTGCAGTTCGATAACTGGCGCTGCCGACCTGTCCTGTCAAGAAGCTACATTGCGTTTAAGAAAGGAAGAGGACATCGGCAAAGATATCAGTCCGCTGGGCACTGATTCCCCTCGGTGGAGGCGTGTGTTCTCGCATTGGTGACAGATTTGGATTTTTAAAGAAGTGAAAGTGAAAGGGGAACATAAGTGAAAGTGAAAGGGGAACAGGCTATCCATGCATACCGGGCGGCATGGGCGTAGACGTCGAGGAGGAAGGGGTCGGTGTAGTTGACGCGTCGTTGGATGGAGATACAGTGGTCGCGGCCATCGAGGTCCCGTCGACGGCATTAGCGGGATCTCCTCCGCCATGGGTCCCATCGTAGTACCTTCAAGCGAGCATGACGACCGATCAACTATTCCTATCTCAGGTGGTCTGTATGCATGCGGCGAATAGATGTAGATGATGCAGGTGTTGGCATGGTGGTGAAAGGTTTGAAGTAGATCAAAGAAGCCGCCGCGCCGTAGCAGAAATCCTGGATCGGTATAGCGAGGCGGGGATGTGAAGGGAAACTGTTAGTTTTGATGACGTGAAGGCAAGTTCAGTGGAGATGAAGTGAAGCATCCAGGCAACCGATCCACTATATGTTCAATCATAGAATAAGATGAAGGGACGGGACGGAACAAAACTATCAATGGCTATTGATTTGCTGTATCTGAGTGGAATTGGAGGAGACGAAGAGAAGGGGAATAGTGTGGAGACGACGACGCTTCGGGGAAAAAGATACAACACGGACTATTCAATATCCTTCCATGGGCTGCCAACGTCTTACAGCCCAGCAGAACTTCCTTGAGAAGTGGCTTCGTACAGCCCAGCCAGAAGAAATCAGTCAATAGCGAGAGCTAAAGCGCCGGACGCGGCTGGAATTGATGACGTGGCTGACTGCTGAGGTGTATTGAGGTAGATGGCTGCATGTTGATTAGTGATGTGAATAGGCAGCATGTCAAAAGAAATACTCCCTCCATTCCGAATTACTTGTCTTGGATTTGTCTAGATACGGATGTATCTAGACTCATTTTAGTGTTAGATACCTCTGTATCTAGACAAATCTAAGACAAATAATTCGGAACGGAGGAAGTAGGTTAGTAGGGATGAATTATTTATGTATTATAGATGCAGCTAATCAAATGGCTAGAAAGAAAGACGGGCAAACTCGTGCATACTGTGGAGGATGCAAGCGCCTCCACGTAGCATCGCCTCCATGGGAGCCTGGGCCTTGGGCGCGCGCACGCACGCACACGTCGACGTCGGTGTAAGTGCTGCGCGTGTACGAAGATTTGGAAGCCATGGTGATCCGGACGGTTGGTTGTCCCGTCGCACGGTCTGGAGGAGCCCGGGCACCCGGCCGGCCGGACGGGCCACCACGCAGCATGTGATTCTACGTGAGTCCGGACCATGCACAGTCCTAGGCTCCCGGCCGGCCGGCCGGTGGGTAGGGTACTCCCTCCGTCTTAAATACTCATACAAGTTTTTTTAGAGATTTTAATATAAACCATATATAAAGCAAAAATGAATGAATCTATATTTTAAAATATGTCTATATATATATGTATGTAATTTTTATTAAAAATCCTATTTAAAAACGGAGGGAGTAGATATACACATATACACTATGTGTGCATATAAATTAGGAAATGGAGTCCATACATACATACATACATACATACATACATACATACTTTCCGGTCTTTTTTACTCTGCGTATTAGATTTGGGTCAAGTCAAACTTTGCAAAGTTTGACCAAATATATATTAAAAAGTATCAACATCTATCATACCGAATATATATTCCATGAAACTACATTTCATAATAAATCTAACAATATTGATTTGGTATTGTAAATGTTCATACTTTTTTCAATAATTTTGGTCAAAGTAGAGATGGTTTGACTTCAAACAAAATTTATATGCAGACTAAAAATGATCGAAGGGAGTATATGTATACATACATACTTGAGATGACAAGGAAGACGGACTGACATCATGCGCATTTGTTTCACCCTGAGTGTGTTGGGAAGGGGACAGGACGGGAGGGAGGGAGACATGCCGAGGATAAGCAGGAAGTGCGTACCCTGAGAAAAGATAGAGCCAGAAATGCAGGTATGCATGGACGGAAGGAAGAGAAGCACCTACCGCCACGTACGTACTACACTTGGCGCTACGTTGACATCAGCAGTTTTGTTACGTTGGGGAGCTGCCAAGGCGGCCGGGGAGTGTGCCCGGCCGGCCGGCCGCCCGACACTTGTCCTGGCACCTAGGAGGAAACGGCCCCGGGGCAAGGGGTCGGTGGTCGACACTTGGTGTTCCAAGTACGTGGCTTGCTTGAAACCGGATTAGATCGGCATGCATGGGGTAGACGACCGATGTGACCCCTGCACGGCAGGGCTATAGCCTGGCTATCGTGGATGTCATGTGTATATCCATTGAGGACTTCAATGCGTGTGTCTAGGACTATCCTTTGGATGCTCACGACATGCATGTACATGTATGGTTGGTGTATGGTTGTAGGTCTTCTTGTTGTGTGGGTCATATGGGTGCGTGTGTGTGTGGACAAATAAGGATTTGACCAGTTAAGCGTCTGCTTTTCTTATTCAAATCACGGTTGATCCTTTTAATTGTCGGATCTTCTTAATACATTGGTTCACGCTTTTAATTTCTCATGATTTCTTCTTTACATGATAATCACGTTGTGTTCTCTTCTATTAAAATTTTGTTTTGTTTTCTCGTCCTTGGATGAACACCCAACTCTGGTTGTCAACTGTTGCCGCTCTTATGACAACAATATTGTATGGCTCCGAGGTTTCTTTTCTCGACTCCACTAGTGTCACAACTATTATGTCATTGGATGGCTCCACCTCGCAACCCAAAACCACTCGACAAGGACTCTTCTTGGTCCTGTCGTCGCATTAGCTCACAGTCCATTGACCGTGTCAGGTTGATATATCAGCTCGATCAAACTCAAGACAGAAACACAACAACCATACGGTACTACACTCTCCGTTCACAAATATAAGATGTTCTAACTTTTTCTAAACTGAATGTATATATACACGTTTTAGTGTGTTTGTTCACTCATTTCTATCCATATATAATTCATATTAAAATACGCAAAACATCTTATATTTGTGAACAGAGGGATTAATACCTAAACTAGCAGTGGATATTGATATATCAACTCCAGATACATTTCACCCATCACAGAACTTTTACTTGTTCACATTAAGTTGGAACCACTCAGTAGGAAGCGACCTTGAATTTGATGCTGTTTCTCCGGATTATGCGCGTGCAAAACAAGCATGCAGTTTCTATATGCATGCACAGTTGCACACATTGGGCTGGCATCGATCCATGGATCAGACTGTACTGTGTTTATCTACAGAAAAATGCATGAGCGCCATATGATGCAACAGCGACGTGAGGATCGGTGACGGATTACACAGTAAGTATATGTAAGCAAAGTTTGTCAACGAAGCTACTATGCACTAGGTAGGCGGCTAAAAATAGAAACTGATCGATCAAGTGGCACACGACGCGGCTAGCAGGGCTGACATACGTGCGCTGCTGTCATTGAGGCTGACATACGTGCTGGACATCACTGTTCTTGTATTTCTTTCGGAGTGATGAGCTTTGTCTCCTGATAACATTTTCA